AAAGAGTTATTGATTTTTGATTACCTTATGATTTATACCTTAAAGCTGTAATAGTTTCAAGCTTTGAATTTCCCTAATATCTAATCTATTAGGCTTTTTCTTTACAGTATATGTGGTTCCTTCTTTATTTTTGGCTCCTCCTAACCTAGTGTAAAAAGAGTGATGAAAGGAAGAAAATTAGTGCAGCAGCAGTTGGCAACCAAGGTTGTAAAACCCATGAAAATTGTAAGTATCATCATTTCACTCCTGCATGTATGAACGTTCAAATCATAACATAATGTTCAATTTAAATTTTCTACTTTTATTAAAATAATAATCTTTTAATTACCATCTCCACGAGAAAACTAACTCAATTAGTCTTCTTGATCGGAATACAAAATGTCAAATGATTAGAGAATCTCGAGATTACTCTTTCCTATTCACCCCAGATTGTGAACTTCCTACACTACCTACAAAAAAGCCTAAACTTGTTAAAGTTTTCTACTAATTCGGTATTTTGTGACTCTTTATATGTGAGAATGCATCTGGTTTATTGTTCTTATTGTTTATTCTCAAACAACCTAAAATACGTTCTTTTTAGTTCTTCATTTAGGTGATGAAAAGAAAGCTTCTTTGTCAAACTCATAACTTAGAATGGAGCCTCGATTGGAGCAACTTAAAAAACCTTTGATAATCAGGATTACGTCACGTTTCAATCATTAAATTCTAAATCAGTCTAAAGCATCTTGGCAAGAATTGCAGCTTCCACCAGGACAACGCATGTGCAACCCGAAGCTTATTAAAAAATACGAGGTCAAGATAAGCTCTTTATCTCTCAATTATAAGAGTTTAGATGCACATAGACAAAGAAAATCACTGGTAATCAGGCTTAAGTTATGTCCTAATTAATTCATTCTAAAGTACCTTTACAAAAATTGCAACCTCCAACAAAGCATGGCATGGGAAAGCCGAAACTTATCCAAAGACAAAAGGTAAAGCTCTTTGTCTCATGTATAAACACATGAATGCACATAGGCAAAAGAAATATCTGGTAATTGTGCTTAAGTTGTGTTATAATTAATTCATTCTAAAGTACATTTGCAAAAATTGCAACCTCCAACAAGGCATGGCATAGGGAAGTCGAAACTTATTCAAAGACTTGAGGTGAAGCTTTTTGCCGCTCTAAGTATAAGCATGTGAATATGTATAGGCAAAAAATATTTCTAGTAACTGGGCTCAAGCTGTGTCTCAGTTCATTCATTCTAAATCATTTTTCCAAAATTGCAGTCTCCAATAGGGCATGGGATGGGAAAACCCAAGCTTATTCAAAGAGCTGAGGTGAAGCTCTTTGTCTATCAAGTATAAGCATGTAAATGCATATATGCAAAAGAAATTTCTGGTAATTGGGCTCAAGTTGTGTCTCAATTCGTTCATTCTGTAGCACATTTCCAAAAATTGCATCCTCCAACAAGGCATGACATGAGAAAG